ACATAGAAAATGAAGCAACGTGTTGTAGAAGCAATAAAATTTATCGAAATAAAACATTACCAAACGTGTGTGTAAACTTACGAAAAGGATCATCACATGCTACTTTTAACCAATTTGAACAAATGACAAACGCAGTGATAGCTCCTCCATCGTATTTTTGACGAAATCCACCTACATTTCATAGGTGTTCATCTAGCATTTCAGTTTGTTGAATTTTAACCCACCCGAATATATTATAATGTAATGAAACTGGTGAATAGTGTAGAATATAACGAATGCATCGTTCGTGTTAAGACATTGGTATGGGCGAAAGGCCTCATCGGCAGCGACATGTAACAAGCAATATATAGTTTAAATTGCTATAAACTTTCAGTGCTGGAATCCGATATTGTGCCAGAAAAGAATTATGTGACTTAATATTATCATATGACTGATATTAATTTACGTCACACACAAACACTTCATCAGACGCCACTGAATAAAAAGTTGTTGCTTCGAATGAACAGCAGTACAACCACAAAGATAAACGTTGCAACCAGTGTTCTGTTTTGTTTTATGATTGCATAATTGTATTTTATTGCATGAACTATTCTCACTACTTATAATAGCGAAAATTATATTTTAACATCAGGTGCTACAGTAAAGTGGGTTGTTGATCATGTGATGTGTTTGAACGAGGTACAGGCTCATGAACCATAATTCTGACTAAACAATTAAAACTATACAATTCTGGCTTTCCTACAGCTGAGAATGTCAAATATTTGGCGTAATTTTTGACTTGCCAGGTGTTTTGGGGTTAGTGTTGAAATACTAAGTGAGCAAGTGACGAGATTTACTTCTCGTTTAGTATTTATGGAACTAGTCGTATGCATATCAAAATATTTGGTTAAACGCATATTTTGATTTGCCTAGTGCTAAGATTAATATTTTGTAATATGAAGTGTTGATGTACGTATTAAATATCGGGTTTAATTTTATGTATATCAATTTGGGGATACGTTATTGTAAAACAATTTTGAATATTTAATCATTAAGTCACGTACAAACAACAGCTAATATAGAGCTGTGTTAATATAGCATGTATCAGAACAATATTTTGACATTGTTTGGCGTTACGTGGGTAGTGTGATGCCATTGAAAACTGATCGCTTTTGTGATTCCCCCCAGTGGCACAGCGGTATGTTTGTGTATGTATGACTTGCGACGCTAAAAACCGGGTTTCGATACTTGTGGTGGACAGAGCACAGATAGCCCATTGTGTAGCTTTGTGCTTAATTCCAAACAAACAAACAAGCTTTTGGGATTGGTTGTTTGTTTGGCATTTTTTGGCGCAAAGCAACAGGTAACAGCCCTCCCTTTTCAACGCAGTATATTCATACACCCAGAATATAAAAATGTGTTCAGATCGGGGAATTATAATTTTCTTGGGCTTAATGGTATTGCAAAAAAAGGAACAAGGAACATCAAGAAAGAGACCTGAAACAAGTCGTGCTACAGCCGTGATTAGCAGAATGTGGCATATTGTAGCTGGTGAGAATCCATAAACACAAAGACAAATGGCGACATAAGTCACGTGCTCACATGTTGCTTCCATGACATATCAGTTCAACTGTCACATAACTTAAGCATCTGGAGAATGAAACGTGTATTCATGCTATTCCTTTTTTAAAACATACCTGTCAAGTCTTCGAACGTAGCGCCTAGGGATTTCTGTGCGATCGGGCTGTTAAAATGGGTGAACAAATCTTTCGTCATTGTAAACTAGAGGCTTACGGGAAGCATGAAGCAAGTTGTGGTGTTTTTAATATATGAGAGCCTTTTCTTGCAGTGGAAACTACACTACAAAGCTGTTGTCAAGATTCAGAACCTTGGATCCGTATGGGAGAAGAGCATTTGCTAGTGGGGTAAATAAATAAGGGGATTTACAGTCACTTCAGTAGCTGATGAGTTAATGAAATTACTTGCATTAAATTGGAAATAGCTGTCCTAGTCTTGTTATAATTATGCATTACATTGGAAATAGCTGTCCTAGTCTTGTTATAATTATGCATTACATTGGAAATAGCTGTCCTAGTCTTGTTATAATTATGTAAACTAATTTGTCAGATTAAACAAAATCAGTCGGGGGGGGGGTTAGTCCTAAATCCATATAATAAGCTAACAATGCAGAATATTTTTCTTAGAATAAAATTAAATCTCGATACAAAATAATGGAATTAGATATATTAAGCCTTCTAACCAACACTATTAAACTAATGAAAGTAACATTAAAGACAGAACACAGTATAACTTACACAACACATAAACACAAGGGGTTTGCTCTATCACGGATTTCATGTTTCTTGAGTAAATTAATATACGAAAATATTTATATACCCTCCCATTCCATCCCAACAACACCTTGTGACAAATGAAAGCTCATTGAACGGCTCCGATAGTGTATCTTCAGAACAGATTGACATCTGTATGCTATGACGGTGAATAGAAGTTTTTAGTCGTGGAACATTGTGGGTATGATATCTCGTATCTGGTACACGGTGCATCCCCTACCGCTGAGTGGGACCTATGTCTGCAAGTACCTCTAGTACTAAGATACATTCAACCTTTTACACGTTGTGGTGTACTAATAACTATGCTTTATTTGTCTGTTTCTGTGCATGCTTTTATTTTGTCCTTGTTGTTTAAAAATGTGTGCGTGTGTACGCTTGCTGAATTACACACATTACATCAGTCATAACTCTTAAGTTATAGAAATAAATTGTAAACTTTGCTACCTGACAAAATAAATCATAGTGATGATTGGCAAGGAAGTACGTATTTAATTGTTTTGCCGGGCTACATAATTTAGTTTTACCACAGTGTTTTGGATTATACGTACAGTGTAAATGTACTTCGAAGGTAAAACGCATAAAACAACCCTGAAGGAAAGGAGTTAGATAAAGAAGTATTACTATTTGTCAGCCTTAACAATTCATGGTCATGAAATTTCAGTCGACGCTGAATCAGCGTGTTAAGCTACTTAACGGATGACTCACATTGAGTGTTTCATTGCCACTGTTTGATAAGTTAACACCTTTTTATACTTAGTGCTTCATTCTGAATATTAGTTATAAATTTAAGAATTAAGCACTGAAGATTAAAAAAAAAAAAGAAGTGTTTTCTTCCAAACAGTGAAAACGGAAGTTATGAGTAGAAGAATTAACAGACAGGCCTACCATTATTGTTAATGTTTTAAAATCACTTATTAAACAAACAAGAAAGGGTCTTGTTTTTAAAACTCGGAACGTAGCTAAGTTTATATTACTAGCTGCTGTTTATATTAGTAATTACTAATCGTGGCATTCATACCTCATTGAAAATAAGAAAGTGAACATTTTCTTAAAAAGGATTTTTTCTTTCTAGGAAGTACTTACTTCGGAGTGTTCGGATTGTGCTCTTTAGTTATACGCAACTCGTTGCATCAAAATGATTCAATGCACAGAGCCCAAAATTTTCATAATTTTTACTGATATAAACTGTCATGTATTTATATATTACAAGTCAGACCGTTTATTGAAAAAATAGTTTTTTTAGAACTCCAGTTTCTCAGCACTACGTTTAAAAATTACATCAATAAAGATATAATCAAACCCTCACGTACAGCCCTAGTGAATGCCGTGTGCCTGTTGTGAGGAGGGTACTTTTATTTAGAATTGTGTTCTATTATAAAGAAATGGTTGTTGCATATACCACAGTTATTTCTTTAATTGTCTGAATCTTGAATACCTAAAGTGTGAATTTTTTTTATGGATTTTTTGTTTGTGGTGCCATTCAATAGATGGCGAAAGAGTTTTGGTTACATACATGCTACGCCCATTATAGTTAGAAGATAAGTAAAAATATATGCACGGACTGTTCTCTTAACGTCAAAAACTTTTAATTGCGAGATTTCGGACCTCTTTCCAGAGCTTTCATCGGTTAGTAATGTTTTGAATCAGATAAGAGAGCCGAAACCTTCCAATTAAAAGTTTTTAACGTAGAGAACAGCCCGTGCATGTTTTTTTTTTTACTTTTTTTACATAAAATAAAGTTCTCATCATTCTTTATAGTAAGAGTTTGAAATAAAAAGATGTTCATAAAGGTAACAAATCTTTGCATGCTGTAATTTTATGTTCGGAAGCACCATTACAGTCGGAACTGATGTTAAAAAATTACTTTCTGTAAACCTCGTACATTTTTTTTATTCAAGACGTAAACTGTGTATTCGGTTAATTCATTGTTTATCCGCTTTTAAATATAACTTCGTATCCTTCGAGAATTACAATCTATATGAAACTTTATTCCTGTTTGTCACTTAATTGTCTTTATCATGCTTAATTCTAAGTATATAATTATCAGAACTCTGAAGAATCATGGTATTTTATATTTGTAGTTAACAATATTTTCAGTAAACTTTACGGCCTCGTTATTTTTTTTTTCTAACCTTTCGCGTGCACTTTTTAAAATTCTCTCCTCTTTTTGGTTTCCATGGTGACTTGACTTTGTGTTTCTGAAGTCAGATGTCATAAGATTAAGGGCCGGGCGTTGTCCAAAAGTTAGTGCCTGGACGACTTCGAATCTGAGGATTAATGATTCGCATCCCGTTGCCACAAAAACTTTCTTTGACTTTGGGGCATGGATACGGCATAAAAGTGACAGTCAATACAGTATTCGGTTAGACAAGAGTAGTTCGAGTGGCGATGGGTGTTTTGAATAGCCATCTTCTTTCTAGCTTGTAGTTCAAGGTTACGGGCAACTGTGTGCGTGTACAACCTCTGTGTAGTTTTGCGGATAAATTCGTCAAAACAAACAAACACAAAAATAAAATTGGAGACAAAAAAAAAGTCCGTAAGTACTCAGATTTAACTTAATTTGACTTCCTCTTAATCGTTGATTGCCTACGTGCAGAATTGAGTTGAATTTCTCTATTTGTGTAATTAATCGTAATATTACTTTAGCTGTGCTAATAAAACCTTTTCTAGGTGAATCTGGACTGGGAAAGTCAACACTTATCAATAGTTTGTTCCTGGCAGACCTTTATAAGGACAGGAAGATCCCGAATGTTGAAGGTAAATGTCATTTAACTTAGTTACGTATTTCAATTCGGTTTTTTATCGATGTTATTATTAATATGCAAAAACCTGTTAACTGCATATGTTTTTTTCAACATTTCTCATGTAGAATGTGAGGAAAACATCAGCAGTTAACTTACTTTTATCACAATTGTTAGGCCTATTAGTTTTGCAATATTTCAGCAGAGTAGGTTGATTTTTGCTTCTTTAATTTAAGATCTGTATTATTTTCTATAAGCTTTTTTATGAACTTAAAACAACTGATATTAATTTTGACGTGAGGTTGGACGACTATTGGGAGCTTTTCGAAAACAAAATTGCCCGCAACTTTGTGAAGATGGAAACTCGTTACCATAAATTTTGTGGACGTTATATGCTTGAAGTTTATTTAGCAACTTGAATGTATTTATAGTATAAGATAGAATTTTATAAACGTTTATAATCTTTATGAAAATAAAAAAGGTAATGTATATTGTTGTGTAATCTATATAAATATAGTAGTATTGTCTGTTGTATGTTCATGTAACTACTTCGCAGGGTGTGGATGGATCTTCACTAAAATTGGTATGGAGGATCATTAGGTCCATGCAGGGGTAAATACAAATTTTCAGTTTTACGGGCGTTTTTTACCATTACTTCACCAAATTTGATATGAAGGTTTGTTGTGTCCATGGTAAGATACATACAAGTTTGCGATTTCACATTTTGTGTTTTGCAGTTCATATGGGCGTTTTTTACAATTACATACAAGGGAAGCAACTTTTCATGTCCTAAAATAAGATAACCTTTCATTAATCACAAATTCCAGCTAGTATAACAATACTTCAATTTCAACCCTTAACTACGTCCTTAAGATGCATTTTTTTGTACACAGGTTTTATTCACAAAGAACGTTTCTTCACTTATTATTTTTAATTGTATTTTGTCTCTGTGCACTAATTATATTCGTTGCTATTTGAAATGCAAATGCCAATTTCACGGAAAACTTTTAAACCTTAACGCTAGGGCGGCTGCAATAATTTTATAATCACTTCGGGACAACAAAGCGTGAAGTTTCTTGTAGACACTTCCTTTCTGTATCTTAACATCTTACACGCGTGAGCAGCGTGTGACATTTTTAGTTGCTACTTCCATCACATTGAAAGGGCATAATGAACCTGCTTGTGATAAGAATTTAATTTACTTCGGTAATCAAAGGTATAAAAGTTGATCTGAGATGTTCAGTTCTTCTAGAATACAATGGAAAATATACTTTACATCTGTCTAGCAGTCAAGAAGTGGGTCATTTAGAAGAATGGGTACATAATTTCGCACTTTTTTATTCATTACATTAATGGCGTTTTTAATCCTAGCTGTATGTTTCATAATTGGGCTAAAATAGCCTAGTGGTTAGAGTACCAGACTGTGAAACTGAGGGTCCTTGGTTCTAGTCTTATTGTTGCATTTTTGGGCTACCATAATAAGAGTGATGGTCAAATTTCACTATTCGAGTAGAGTACCTGAAAATTTGGCAGAGGTTGTTGTTGACTGGTTAACTGCTTTTTGTCTAGTCTTTGAGTTCAAAATCAGGGACGCCTGTGCGTAGATAACCATTGTATAACTTTACACGAAATATCTGAAACAAGCAAACGAACCTTTTATAGTTTTCGAATTTGAAGAGAGAGAGAGAGAGAAGTAGGAACAATCAACATTTTTAAAATTTTTGTTTCTGTAATGAAATTAATCCATTTAATGAAATCTATTTGCATATTTCAGTTAAGGAACCTAATTTTACCAAATTACATTCTTTTTGTGGTTATATTTGTTAATGTTTTATCATACAGACTTACAAAATCGTGTTTAATATTCCAGTTATTTTTATTTCTTTTGTAAGAATTGTTTTTGTCATCTTAATAACTGTAGAAAAATTGGACAGAACAGTAACTATTGAGAAGAAAACCATGGAGATTGAAGAGAAAGGGGTCAAACTTAAACTAACTATAGTGGACACACCTGGGTTTGGAGAGGCAGTCAATTGCGAGAACAAGTACTGTAGATAAATGTATTCATTTAAATTGATTAAAATGCAAAAAAGATAGTAGAGATGGCATTTGCATCATCCCTACATAATTGCATAGGCACAGGGTGTAGTAGAATGTTAACAGACACAAATAGGATAAATTAAACTCTATTGTGATTGATGTTAATTCTTGCCTGTGCTAGTATGTAGGGATGACACAAATATCATCTCTACTATTGCATTGTTTTTAAAGGATTTATATTAGCCATCCCGATATTTACTTACCAGTTTGATTTTTTTTTCTTTAATTGTTTGGTTGTTTTTTTGTTTTTTTTTAATGCAGTGTTTCCATAGATATAGAAAAGTTGTATTTATAACCAAGTTCTAAATACAATGAGGTTCCAACTGTAATATTTA